ATAAATGTCCCAGCTCCCCACTTCACCTCTGATACCACCTGGCAGGAGAAGGCTCTGCCTCATTATGCCGGGAACGGGGTGGGGGGGCGGGGCAAGTGTAGGCTCCCACTCAGTCTTTGCTGATGGGGCTGGGATATCGTTTTTTGGAGTTTGACTGGACTGGAGTGATTATTGGCTACAAGTTTCCTGTCTTGCTTGTCTGCCCCTGTCCTGGTCTTTTGACTAAAGAAAGCAGACTTCTCTTGGGGCTTCTTGTGGTCTGCAGCCATTGAGGTATTAGGACACCAGCTTCTCCAGTATCCCGTCAGCTATAAAAGGGCAAAAGAAAACCCAAAGAACTCACTGCCATGTCGTTCTTTGCATCTCAAGGTCGCTAGCAAGTCGGCCTCTTCTCTCAACCTCAAAGAGTCTTCTCATGTCTGTTTACATACAATGTCCAGGGGTTTTAGCTTTACTTAGTGGGAAAAATAGGAGTAAATATGTCTAGCCCATTTTGTCTGGAACCAGAAGTCAGGAGTCTTTTTTATTATAACTTACCACATTACACTCTATTCCAGCTCTTTAAGGGTTCGCTTTACTTTTTTTTTTTTTAAGATTTTATTTATGTATTTGAGAGAGAGAGAGAGAGAGAGCATGAGCAGGGGGAGGGGCAGAGAGAGAAGCAGACTCCCTGCTGAGCAGGGAGCGCAACTGGGGGCTGGATCCCCGGACTCTGAGATCATGACCTAAGCCGAAGGCAGACCCTTAACAGACTGAGCCCCCCAGGCGCCCCAAGATTTCCCTTTACTTGATAAACTGTGACTTGTTAGAGGGGAAGAACTGTGATTTATTTGTCTGTGTCCCTAGTGCCTAGCAGAGTAGCAATACATGATTTTTGTAATTGAAATGTAGTATGTTATCAAGCATTTCCCAGGTTAAGAATTTGTGCAGATACAGCTATATTACCACCAGAGGGCAGTAGCAGCAACCCTTCATTAGGGGCTCCCAAGCCTGTATGCCCCACAGCAGAATGAACGCTTTCCCCAGAACTGCTTGTCCTTCTTTTGGGTGAGAAAAGCTGAAGTCTGGGAACTTACTGTAATTGGGCCTCTCCGGGATAAAAAAGGACCTCGGGGTGGCTGACAAGGCTGCACCTGGATCACGTGGGTTCCATTCTTTTGGGTTACGATGTGTTCTGTGTTCCCATGAAGGGAGGGGAAGTCACTCACATATATCTAGCATCTAGAGGGACAGTCATGATTCTGGGCACTCCTCACAGTAATCCTACAAGGCAGGCATTATTTCCTCCCTTTTACTGAGGAAACTGAGGCTCAGAGGGTCTCTCACAGCTAGTAAGAGGGAGCACTGAAACTCTTACACTGCTTCCCCCCAGGGGATCCAAGGACAGCCTCCTCCCCTGACAGAGTGGTGGGGGGAAGGGCCCTCACTGGCAATGGAGGGCCAGGTCAGCCCCACATCCAGCAAGCCTCTCAGCCCCGTGTTCTTCATCCTTCTTTAATGGGATGATAGTCAACTTCGCTTTTAAGAGCTATGTGATCTAGGGACAGGACCAGCAGGGCCCAGTACAAAGTGAAAATGTGGGACCCCTTATTTAAAAAATTAAAAATTTCAAAACAGGGGTGCCTGGGTGGCTCAGATGGTTAAGCATCTGCCTTCGGCTCAGGTCATGATCTCCAGGTCCTGGGATCAAGCCCCATATCAGGCTCCCTGCTCAGCGGAGAGCGTGCTTCTCTCTCTCCCTCTGCCTCTCCCCCTGCTCATGCTCTTTCTATCCCTCTGTCTCAAATGAATAAATAAAATCTTTAAACAAAACAAAAATTTCAAAACAGCAACAGCAGAGCATTAAACCAAGCACGGGGCCCTTCTAAATGTGAGGGGCCTGTGTGACCATACAAGGCACGTGTCCATGAAGCCAGCTTTGTCTAGAGCAATAATAGAAATAATGAAATCATAATACCTTCCCTCTTTAGCACAACTAATCTGCACTATATTCTTTCACTATAAATCTTTTATTTCTTTCAATCTTTCTGGGGTTTTCTCCCCCTTTGTGTGGGTTTTGTTTGTTTGTTTTTTCAGAGAGAGAGAGAGAATCTTAAGCAGGCTCCACGCCCAGTGTGTGACCCTGACGCAGGGCCTGATCCCACAACTCTAAGATGATGACCTGAGCCGAAATCAGGACAACTGAGCCACCCAGGCACCCCTCCCCCTGTGTGTTTTTATCTCTACAAATGAGGAGGTTGGACTAAACCAGAAGTTCTTAACCCTGGTTACACATTAGAAGCACCTGAGGACTTGAAAAAACTATCCAAAGCCGGCCCTACCCCCGCAAAGATTCTAGCTGAACTGGGTGGCAGTGGGGCCGGGACATGTCACTAAACTCCCTGCCCAGTTCTGAGACTCTGATTCCTACTTGAGGGTGATGATGACAAAAATGTTCTTCCCCTCCTTGGAAAAAGCAGCGGAGGTATCTGGACCACTCTAGCTCCCATTGGGCAGGGAGCCTTGAGGTTTCAGGTCTGGGAATTTTTACTGGCAATGACACGAAGAGTATATGTCCTTGGTGGGTCTGGTTAAGGGGCGGGTCTTCTGAGGAGCTTGTTTCTAGCCACAGCAGTCGTTTGTTCAACTCTCCATTCTGCTCAGGGTCCCGGTGCTCCAGTGTTCCCTGGGGGTCTCGGGGGACGCCGTCAATTTGTGGCAGGATTCCTGGGCACGAAGGAAAAACAGTGGCTTTCCCGAGCCTTCTGGGAACTGCCAGCTTGCCTAACTTCCTCGACAGAGCCAGAGCAATGTGCGTAAAGCTGTGAGGGAGAAGAAAGCAGAAAGGAAAATGTTTATCACACACTTTCTGAGTGCCTGGCATTGCACTAGGAACACTCACATTTAATCTTCCCAAACCCTTCTGCATAAGTATTTTTTTAAATCTCCATTTTAACAGCCCAGAAAAGCTAAGTAAGTTGCTGGATGTCACACAGCTCACTGAGTGGTCCCTCTACTTACTGGAGGGGGAGGGCTGTGGTTCAGAGATACGGTGGAGTGGGGTGAAGGCTGGGTGGTGCTTGCTTCACCCCTGCCCTCTCATCTCTCTGACCCCTGCTGGCCAAAGGCCTGGGACCCCAATCTCTTGGTCAAACCCCACCTCTACTCTCACCCCAGCAGTGCTCCCTGGGAAACCGGGTCTGAGGGCCAGTATGCTCCCAGAGTCTGTGCGACTGGCCCTCTTTTCTGGCTGAGAAAGCCAAGCTGTGGCCGAAGCCAGTGAGGCATGGCCTAGGCCTGCCTTATCAGGCCTGCACAGAGCTCAGAAACCCTTCACCCTGGGTCCTGTGGAAATGGTTTGGAACACTGGTTCCATTCACTGATGTGAGAACCCAAGGATGAAAGGAAGGTCCCCTGGGAAGGCAGCCCAGGCTCCTCACAGAAGCCCATCGGGAGATGGGGCTAATGCAGTGATCCTGGGGCCACTGAGCAGGCTGAAACTCCTTCTAGAATGAAACTCCTTCTCTGAAGTCAGTTATACTGCCCAGAACCTGAATCTGCCACACAGATTGGGGTAGTTCTGTGAGAATGATCATCAGCCTCAGGCTCTGCTCAAGGGGGGTTAGCCTCACCTTTGAGGAAGGGTCTCAAATTCCCGTCCCTACACGTGGAGGGGCTTGTAGAGGGTCAGGAAAGCTGTGGGGTCCTGGTGGAAGGGTGGTAAGGGAGGAAACCTTAGACAATTTAGGGGGGTGGGCAGGACTGCAATCTCCCTAATGGATTCATGGCCAGACCAGAGGGGAAGGCTGAAGCTAATCTGAAGGCCCCACCCCCTAGGAATCCACCCGCCCCCCTTCAGGAGGGGGACCTGCAGTTTCAGAGCCCTGGGTTGGGCTGAGCCAGTGAGGCCTGGACCCGCTAATAAGTGCCATGATGAAAGATTTCTATCACATTGTGACTCCCAGGACTGCCAAGTGGCTCAGGAGTGTAGGGCTGGGGAATATTCTTTTAGTTCATTCTTCAAAAGCAAAGGTCAGATGAAAAATATTTTGTAAGATGAACTGTGATATGGGATGAGAGACAGTCCAGGAGATGGATGGGGGTGATACTTGCACAACAGTGTGAGTATACTTACTTAATGCTGCCAAACTGTTCACTTTAAAATTATTAAAACGGGGTGCCTGGGTGGCTCAGTCGTTAAGCGCCTGCCTTCAGCTCAGGTCATGATCCCAGGGTCCTGGGATCGAGCCCCGCTTCGGGCTCCCTGCTCCGCGGGAAGCCTGCTTCTTCCTCTCCCGCTCTCCCTGCTCGCCCTGCTTGTGTTCCCTCTCTTGCTGTGTCTCTGTCAAATAAATAAAGAAAATCTTTAAAAAAAATTATTAAAACAGTAAATTTTATGATATGTGTATTTCACTACAACTAAAAAAAGAGGAATGTGAAACTGTGGTTAGCTTAGGAAGCATGTCAGGTCAGTCTCCTCTGAGGCTGAAGAGAGGATTCATGTGCTCCAAGAGCGTGTGCAGGCTGTGGCCACTCAACTTTTGAGGAAGGCATTGTCTTCTCCTCAAGGCTCACAGTGACCCACCCAAGGGGTTAGAAATAGATTTTGAAGAGCCTGACAGATGTGCCTCTCTTCTCACTCTTTCTGGCTATCCTTGGGTCAATGAGACAGGATTTTCTTTCTCCAGTAATACTTGGGGATGAATGTGAGGAATGAGCCAATAGATCAGGTCCTGGCTCAGGAAGCATTTTTTGCCACCATGTTTTAGGACTGATAAACCATTTTACAAAATCACAGCTGGCGTGATTGTGTGGAGTTTGTAGTGGAGAATGTAGGCATCCAACCTCAGAGAGCCAGATAATGACCCAGAGGAGAAGACACTCTGGGCAGAGATCCCAAAAGTCTCCCTGTAGGGGTCCATAGAGGTATGCTAGGAACACAAGGAGTCCCAGGAAAGAAAGGACTTCCTTGCCTGGAGTGTATCTTAAAACTCCTGTATCACAGGAGTGGATCATATTATGTTTTTAGACTTCGACAACCCATATACTGAAACAGGAGTGATAAAGAAGATTAACTTGGTCCCTACACAAGGATGACATCAAATTTGTGAAGCATTCCATATTTTTTAGTAGTAGATAGTTGAAAAGTAAAATTTAAAAAACCATCCAACTTGGGGGTGCCTGGGTGGCTCAGGCAGTCAAGCATCTAACTCTTGATTTTGGCTCAGGTCATGGTCTCAGGGTTTTGAGATTGAGCTCTGCATCAGGCTCCACGCCCAGTGTGCTTAAGATTCTCTCTCTCTACCTCTCCCCTCCCTTAAAAAAAAAAAATCCAATTTACAATAAAAACAAAAAACAGAAAATACTTAAGAATAAATTTAACAAAAGATGTGCAAAATTTACACACTAAAAACTATAAAACATTCCTGAGGGAAATTTTTAAAGGATCTAAACACATGGAGAGATATACCATGTTCATGGATTAGGAGACTCAATACTGTTAATTCTCCTCAATTGACTTACAGATCTCATAAATCATAATCTCCATAGGCTTATAGAATTATAAAAATTGACATACTGACTCTAAAATTTATGCAGAAATGCAAAGGACCTAGAATATCCAAAGCAATCTTTTTTTTTTAAGATTTTATTTATTTATTTATTTGACAGAGAGACACAGTAAGAGAGGGAACACAAGCAGGGGGAATGGGAGAGGGAGAAGCAGGCTTCCCGCTGAGCAGGGAGCACAATGCAGTACTTGATCTCAGGGCCCTGGGATCATGACCCAAGCCTAAGGCAGACGCTTAACGAATGAGCCACCCAGGTGCCCCCAAAGCAATCTTGAAAAGAAGTTAGAAGACTTACATTACCTTACTTCAAGACTAAATATAAAACTATACTAATCAACATAGCGTGGTACCATTATAAGGATCAACCAGTAAATCAAGGGGCAGAACAGAGAACTGAAAATAGACTCACACTTATTTAGTTATTTGGTGTTTGACAATGGTGCCAAAGCAATCCAAGGGAGAGAGAAAAATCTTTTCAATAAATGGGGGCTGGAATAACTGGATACCCAAATTTTAAAAAAAAGAGCCTTAACTCCTATTTCACACCATACACAAAAAATAACTCAAGACAGAGCACAGATGCAAAATAAAAGCTAAAACCATAAAGCTCTTAAAAGAAAACCAAGGAGAATACCTTTGTGGCTTGAGAGTAGCAAATGTTTCTTAGGAAAGTAATAGCCATGAGTTAAAAAACTGATAAATAAGACTTTAACAATAACATAAGCTCATCAAAGACATTGTTTAAAAATCAAATAGGCAAGGGGTGCCTGACTGGCTCAGTCAGTAGAGCATGTAACTCTTGATCTCGGGGTTGTGAGTTTGAGCCCAACGATGTGTGTAGAGATTACTTAAAAAAAAAGAAAATCTTAAAAAAAAAAAAAAAGAACAGGTTAGCTATACACTGCGGTCAAATTTTGCAAAATATATCTGAAAAGAACTGATATCCAAGATATATAAAGAATGTCTACAACTCGATAATAAAAAGACAAACAACCCCAGTGAAAAATTGGCAAAAGATTTGAACAGATGTGGGGTGGCTGGGTGGCTCAAATTAAAAAAAATACAAAACTTTTTTTTTAAAGATTTTATTTATTTATTTATTTGTCAGAGAGAGAGAGAGAGAACGAGAACAAGCAGGGGGAGTGGCAGGCAGAGGGAGAAGCAGGCTCCCTACTGAGCAAGGAGCCTGATGCAGGGCTCGATCCCAGGACCTCGGGACCATGACCTGAGTCGAAGGCAGACACTTAACGACTGAGCCATCCAGGCGCCCCTAAATAAATAAAATCTTTTTTTATTAAAGATTTTATTTATTTATTTGACAGAGAGATGAGAGCACAAGTAGGCAGAGAGGCAGGCAGAGGGAGAGGGAGAAGCAGACTCTCCACTGAGCAGGGAGCCCGACGTGGGACTCGATCCCAGGACCCTGGGATCATGACCTGAGCTGAAGGCAGCCACTTAACCAACTGAGCCACCCAGGTACCCCTAAATAAATAAAATCTTTTTAAAAAATTGAACAGATGCTTCACAAAAGATGATATACAAATGGATGACAAGCACACAAAAAAGACAATATTATTAATAATCAGGGCAATACAAATTAAAACAATAAGATACTACTACATACGCAACAAAATGGCTAAAATTTAAATGACTGACCCCTACCAAAGGCTCATGAGAATAAGGAGCAACCAGAACTCTCATATGTTGTTAGTGGGAATGTACGCTAATACAACCACTTTGGAAAAAGCCAGTTCTTTTCAAATTAATTATACACCAACCCTATGACCCAGGAATTCCACATCTAGGTATTGACCTGAGAGAAATGAAATTATGTCCCCAAAAAGACTTACACAGGAATGTTCATAGCAACTTCTTCGTAATAGCCAAAAAGCTGGAAAAAACCCGACATCCATCAATAGGAAAATGGGTAAAATGCTATATTCATAAAATGGAATATTACTCCAAATAAAAAAAGAACAAATTACTGGTACATGCAGCAACATAGGTTACACAAAACCATTATGTTGAGTGAAATAAGCCTTACACAAAAGAGTATATTCTATATGATTCAATATATATAAAGTTCTAGAACAGGTAAAACTAACCTGTGGTGGAAACAATCCAAACAGTGGTGTCCTCTGAGAGGTTGGGGGCAGGTATTGATTGGGAAGGGGCATAAGGAAACATTCTGGGGTGATGGTAGGGTTCTATATCTTGACAGAGGTTAGGGTATACAGGTTTATGTATTTGTGAAAATTGGGCAAATGCACACTTAAGATTCTGTGTTTCATTGGTTGTAGGTTTCACTTCAAAAAACTATAAACAGGGGCTCCTGGCTGGCTCAGTTGGTAGAACATGCAACTTTTGATCTCAGGGTCATAAGTTCAAGCCCTACATTGGGTATAGAACCTACTTAAAAAAATTTTTTTAACTATAAACAAATAATACCAAGCTCTAGTTAAAGATAAACATACTGAAGTAACTAGGGGGATGTTATTGATGTCTGCAATTTACTTTGAGATGCATAAAAACATAAAATGTATTGATGGATGGATGGAGAGGTAGAGAGAGATATGATAAAGCAAATATAATAAAGTATTAAATTGGGTGATGGGTATAGGAATATTTTCACTGTGAAAATCATTATGTTTGAAAATTTTCATTAAAAATATTAAAAAAAAGACATACAGCTATATCATGGATAGTATATAAAATTTATGTGAATTTTATGATAGAACAGGAATGTTCCAGACAATTCTTGAACATATTCCCTTTATTGGCCTGAAGTGCCCCCTTCTTCCCAACACTTAACCATAGTGATTTTTTTTTCCCCCTTCCTTTCTCTTGGGAAACAAAAATTCTAGCAAATTGTGTCTGATGGCTCTTGTTCTCTCTGTAACCAGAGATTCGGCTTCTGGCAGTTTTAATTTGCTACTAGAGACTCAAGAGGACTGCCCACTGTGCTTGTCTAAAAGAGATAATCAAGTTACAGTTGACCAATTAGATGATATCAAGGCCTCTGGAGGACAAATCCTTCAGCATTCGCCAAGTGGAGACACAGCAGGGACCCAAGGCCAGAAGCCCCAGCACCCTGCAATAGGCACTGTGCAGAAGCTAACTTTGGTTTGGAGCTAGCTGGAGGTCGTTGGAAAGAGGAAGCCTTTTATCCCAGCCCCTGGGGGGAGTAAAAGGAGGAGTTGGAGTGGGGTCTGCTGAGCCAGTGCTGGGGAGCTGAGCATCAGGGCATCAGGCCAAGAGGATGCTCCCAGGTCACTATGGCCCCTCCCTGCCTCCTGGCCTGGTGACTTTTACTCCTGGGTTGGGTGATTACTCAGTTAACCTGAGAGCCCAGGGACCAGCCTGAGCGGCTCTTGCCAGAACTGGCAGGGCTTGGAGTGGGGATAGGGCTGACTGGGAAAAGGTGGTCTTCACGGGCAGGGCCAGAGGAGGGAAAAGACGAAGGCGACTTGACTTCTTTCAGCTGAGGGCCAGTGGCAGCCTGCCTGGTCAGCCCGTCCTGCCCACCCCACGCCACGATGAGTGTGGTAACCGTGCATCGTGAAGATAATGGAAAAGGAGAGTGGATGAATAGGGGTGCAATGTCCCCACAGTCGCCTACGGGCCTAGAGTCCTTGCATCTGAGCATCTCTGACCTTGTGGGCATGGTCATGGATCACCCCCATTCTTGTATCTTTCCTTGTTATGTCTATTTTTTGAGTGTCTTTGTGTGTTTATCCTGATTTCTTTTCTAAAAAAAAAAAAAATTATCTCGTTAAAAAGTAATATGTACTTATCACAGAAAATTCAGATAAACAAATTAAATAAATTGAAATAATCACCCAAAGGTAACCTCTATTAAGCCTGCGATGTGTTTCCTGACAATGTTTATTTCCCAGTGGGTATATACGCAATTTAAAAAATGAGATTATAATATGTGTGCTGCCTTGTAGCCTGCCTTCTCCACTTAACAGTGCATCATGGAGGTCTTTCCTGGTCATGAAATACAAGGAAATAATGATCATTTTCACCAGTTGCTTAGCATCCCAATAACACGGATGTGCACTAAGTTGTTTAATCTCCTCTTAGTGGACATTTAGCTTGTTAAAGCAGTTTGCTATTATAAACAGTACTGTGATTATAAACATCCTCGGACTCAAATCTGCCCTTGTCTGTGATTTTTTTTTCATGAATTCTTTGGTGTGGAATTATTCTCTTAGATGGAAGGTAGACTGCTTTAAAGTCTTTGTTGACGTTTCTTTTGCTAAATATAAGGGACATCTGATGTGCTTCCCTGCTCAGAATTCTTTATCCCCCTCCTTCTAATAACAGCCTTTGTTTTTCCTTTAGGGAGCCACACCTCCCCTACTCTCTCTGGCCCTTGTGGGCTGTCAGTCACTCTGAGCTTCTCCTCTAACCGGTCTGAACATGTCACTTGAGGCAGCCAGAGTACTCTCTTCCCTAGGCTGCGTGTTCAGTTCAGAGATGGGCATAAGATCCAGAGTTAATCAGAGTATTCCCTGAGACTTTATACGAAGCTTCTGTGAGTGGTGGTGGTGG